CGCAAAACGGGTTGGGAGAAGACGACTCGAAAAACTTAAGTTCAACGGCTATAATGCTGTTGAAACTGTTGCTCGACTTCGACCAGCTCGCAAAACGGGTTGGGAGAGGACAGTAAGGTAAAGAAAGAAAATCAAACATGAAAATAAAAAGCCACAACCACGAGAAGACGACGATATAAAAATAGCACAATAAGCATTATAATTAAAGGAAAATTCATTACATCCGGCACCATCTCACCCTTTACAAATTGGAAAATAGGATGAGATGGTAAAACAAGAAAGGAAAAACAAACAAAACAAAACAAACATAAATAGCCCAACTACAACAGAAGCAAATCTAAATCTTCTGGGAGTCGGCTGTCGATTTCTCAGCGGCATTCCCGCCTTCATCGCCAATTGGCTCGGTTTGAGCGCCCCCCTCTTCCTCAATCGGCACAGTGCTTGGCCGCTCGACTTCAATCTCCTCATCGAACGGCTCTGCCTCCAAGTCCGCACCGCTCGGCTCGACCAATTCAACTGGGCCGACCAAAGGGAGCGGAGAAACTTCAAGCTGAGAAGATAGCCCAGCCGAATGGATGGCCTTGGCCGCAAGACCGCTCCACCACGCATGGCCGGGGGAAGAACCGCTTCCTGGAAGCCCTCGGGGTTGGGGAGGGTTAGCTTCACGGCTTCGCGGTCGATCTTTCCCGAGAAGTCGGGCTTGGTCACGTCCTGTTCCCACGTGTCGCAGGTGTAGTCGAAGTACTGGACAGCCGCGGGAACAAGTTCGTCGAGAAACTTCGAGGAGGAGCAGAATCCCTCGACCACAGCCTTACGGTAGTGATCAAGAAAAACCGCCCCATCAGCAGACTTCAAGAAGGTCCGCCGACCTTCCTCTATCCCATTTTCCTTCTCGATCAGGATCTCATCGTTGGCTTTGACCAAGTCGACCCTCAGCCTCTCAGCCTTTCGGACAGCCGCCTCCTTCTCAGAACAGAGCTTGGCTATGATGGCGTTCGCAGCGTCGAGCTCCTTCCCCTTTGCCTCGAGCTCCTGGCACTTAGACGTGTATTTTTCCCCCAGGACCTTGATGTTGTTCCCAGGGGAAGACGCTTCCTCGATCATAGTGGGAAGAATGCAAGCAAGAAGCTGAAAAGAACGAATAAAATGATGAGAAGCCGACATAAAAAAAGGAGAGAGAAAAGAAGAGAAGTTGAACTTACTCGAGGAATAAGCCGAGCGGCATAGCGGGCCCAAAGACAAGGGTCGCTGTCGGTTCGAACCTGATCATCTTCACGAATGGTCGAGTGGAGGTAGTTGAGAATTTGAAGGGAATCGGGGTTGTCGTAAAGTCGCGAAGGCTGTTGAAGGGTAACAGGTTGCACCCTAACAGGGGACGGCTGTCCCGCGTCTCTCTCGACCACCGTCTCCTTCCCTTTCGAGCGCTTCGAGGTGTCGGACCCCAAAGTCGTATCCTCTCGGTTCCGGGGCCTCTTGTGAGAGTGAGAGCCTGTCGCTTGACTCGGCTTGGAGGCTGAAGGGAGCACCACTTTAGATTTTTTAGCGGCAGTCGTCTCGACTGCCGCAACGGGAGTAGCAGAATCAGAACCTCCCTCAGACCCCTGAGGGATAAGGTGGGTGGCTGGCTTATGGGATGGCTCAGCCTTTTTCTTCTCAAAGCGGGCTAATGCTTTTACTAAAAAAAAAAACAAGAGAGAAAACAATCAATACAAACAAACACACCAGCCGTACATGTATTTCAAGACAAATAAACGCAAAAACGCGAGACCAAACAATCAGTAAATAAATCGGAACAAAAGACGACAAACAAAGAAAGCTTACAATGATCGTTAAGGCGAGGAACACTTTTGTCAACACAAATACCAACATGATTAAGTAAAGGAGTATCTTTGGTAAGTCAACAAGCGCTCCACACATGTCTATTTAACTCTTCTAGCATGTCAGCAAACTGTGAAGAGTCGGGACGCTTACGTTGCTTTGTCTTACTGGTAATCCACTCATTCGAATAAGGATATTGGCCAGGAGCAGGTCGAATGAAGAAATACTTCTTCTTCCATTCGATAATATTGGAAGAGAGGTCGTCAAGGAAAGTAATGCCTACTCGACGGCCCAGACAATGGGCGTCCTTGCTAAACCTATACTCGTAGCAGTAAAGGAAAAATTCGGGTAGAAAATTACCTAAAACTATGCGGGTAACAACTACGAAGGCCACCATTATTCGAATAGAATTGGGGGTGAACTGGTTTATTGGTATGTCGAAAAGGTTGCTTCACGACCGCAGCTCAGGTTGAATCGGGAAACGCAGGCCCGACATTATTTGATCCACAAAAAAAGTAAAACAGCCTTTAGGAGGGCGACGGAAGTCGTCTTCGGGTTTAGGAGCGACTACAGCCCAATCAGAGGGAATTCCGCTGAACTCCCTGAAGCCATCGATTTCGGCTGCAGGAGCATGATAAAACGATAATAAGAACTTTACCACGGAACATGCTAATAGTTACAGACTCGATTAAAGGAAGTCATTACCAAGTAAAGGAATGGGGCTGGTCACATATATGAGGATGTCTAGAAGAACCTAGTGGAAAATACCTCGAGTCAAGTCGGGGTAAGAGGATTCAAGGACTTGAAGAACTTTGGGATCCTCACAAAGTGTGCCCGAAAGCAGGGCCTGGTTGTATACAGCCAAATCGATACCGAAAGGTGAGGCATTGGAATGGGCAGAACCCTCCGAATCGACGTTTCGACGAGAACACGTTTCGACATCGTTTTGGTGAACAAAGTCCGAGCCCGAATAGTTATCGATTTCACGGGAAGAGAACCAGAGACGGTGTCAGAAACAAGGTCGAGATTGGAATCTAAATAAAAAGAGAATGGTAATCAAGAAAAACTATTAAAAAGCGTGGCCGTGATTCGATTCAAAGAAAAGGGTCAACAAAATAGCTAGGATAGCGCAAGAAGCGTCTCGACAATGGGAAGAAGGGGAGAAGAAACGGGAAAAATATTCCCCATGTCAATTCCACTCAACAAAGGAAGACCGAGACAAGAAAGGAAAAAAAGTCGATCTCTCACCACAAGAAGACTAATAAAGGAAAACACTTAGAGGAAATAAAAAGCCTACAATCAAAGATCTAACAGGAAAATCGCCAAGAAGATCCACATACAATTCCCAGAAAATGAAAGATGTTCTTATGTCTAGATAATTTACCCAGAAAAATAACAAAGGCATTCTTATCTCAGAACACGAAAACAAGTCGAATAGGCAAAGAAAACTTACTCATACTCATGGTGGTTGACGGAAAGTCCTGAAAAATCTGAGAAGAACGCCGGAAAGTTAGAGCGCCGGAAAACTTGAGAAGCTGTGTTTGCCGGAGATAAACAGAAAGCTTAAAGGAGGCGAGTGCGAAAAGTGAAGAACAGAAAAGGTGAGGATTACTTATAGAGAGGGCAAAGAAACCCCAGCCCTCGGATAAAAGTCATTTTCAACGGCCAAGATGGTGCACAGAATACGAAGCGGTGGAGAGAGAAAGTGTTATCTTTTGAATTTTGAAATTTGAAAAGACCCAGACTTATCCAATCAGTTCGAAATACGATGGGGTGAACATCGCTTCGCAGGTCGCAGAAACGACCAGATGTAATTTAGGGCAACAACAGGCGACAGAGTATGAGAGAAGACTCGAGAAAGAACATTCGACGTCCCGAACATACTCTTAAGCTCAGAATCGCTTCGAGTAAATTTCGGGGGGGACTAGATGATATAGCCACATTGGCCCATAACGGTCTGTATCATCACGGTTCGAAAACTATCAAGTCGACTTTAACAAAGTCGACTCCGCCAGTGAGGCTCCACAATACTCACGGTCAAGGATCCCGGCTCTCGTCTGAGTCGACATGTACCTGTCGATTAACATAAGTCGATTTCTGCCAAGGCGACGGTCAGACGTATCGGGATCCACTAACGGTTGGGCGCGACCCAGTCGACTCGACTCGATATTTCAGGTCGACTGAAGGAGTCTTGCAGCTCGTAGTTCTCGACAGCTTGGATATACCTCAGCGTATTAAGAGAGAGTTGAGGATAAGAAGGAAGTTGAGGAAGGATCTAGATGCTGACTAGGAAGTAGGCAGAATACGAACCGACCAGGGTATTCTGGACATTTCCGGTAAGTCGGCTGGGGCACTTTGGGGACTTCAGGTAAATTTTGCACTTCTATATAAAGGACTGAGGTAATCCCAAAACCCTAACTCCCATTCATTCTATACTTTCTCCATTACGGCTGCTGCTCCCTCAGAGCAGCTCTCTTCATCTCTTTCACATACTGGCTTGAGCGTCGGGGGCTCTACGCCGGAAACCCCTCCAGCGTTGAGTTCTTGCAGGTGTTCTTGCGGCTCAACAACGGTTCGAACGCCATCACATCAGATCTAAGCTCATTCGCACCGGTTCATCCCAGATCCAGACATTTTCCCATTGGGCCGTTCCAGATCTGAGAAGAGACACATCATTTGGCGCCGTCTGTGGGGAGTTCTTGAAGGAATTAAGAGCTTTACACCTAGCTTTGATCTGTTTCCGATGGCTGAGAAGGAAGGAGTGCAGAAAAACTTGAATGAGGACTTCAGGGCAACATGGACGGACAAGTGACCTCCGTCGATTCCCAGCTTTAGACCACCACTCCAGGTGTTGGGATTCCCACCTTTTGGGGCACACGCGCCATCAGGAGGGCGTATGGGAGAAAAGACGCCTATTACCCCACCCGGAGTCAAGATCCCGGTTCTCACCCAGGGGGAGGCCAGTCACGTGAAGGACACAAGCGGAGAAGTGGATGGTCACGCATCGACCGAAATATCTTTGAGGATGGGGAGGCAACCTGGGCAACTTGATCAGGAGACAAGGCCACTGCTCCAAGTCGAGGAACAAACGTTGACCGTGACGAGAAGCGAGATGCAGAGAATGATCGCGGAGGCAGTAGCGGCCCAACTCAAATAGACGCCAGTCGAACAACCAAGGGTCGAGCGGCCCAGGATCGAACAAGCAAGGGTCGAACAACCTCAAAATGAGCAGCAACCCCCTGAGCGCGAACAACATGCACAATCGCATGAAAGGCAAAACAGGAGAGTAGACGAGGAGGAGTCCTCTGTCAGAACCGTTAATCCACAAGCCAGAAACGACACGCTGGAGCAGCTGTTAGCACAGGTCCGAGACTTGCAGGCTCGGGTGGAAGGAAGAAAAACGGGAAGCTCGAGGGGACACCCTTTTTCACAACATATTTTAGATGCCGATCCTCAAGGGTTCAGGGAACTTAATATCTGGTATGACGGGTCGACTGATCCCTCTCGACATCTCAGAAGCTTCGAAAATATGGCAGTATTGCATCGATATAACGACCTCGTTCAGTGTCGAGCATTCCCGACGACCCTGCGAGGACCAGCACAGGATTGGTTTCATCAATTGCCCCCAGGGGCCGTCAGGGATTTCGATGGGTTTAGCTCGAGTTTCCTAAACCAATTCGCAAGTGTAAAAGCCCAAGTAAAGTCTTACCTTACATTGATAGGTATGCAGCAGAAAGAGGGGGAATCACTGAGGGACTACGTGGCGAGGTACACACGGGCGTGTGTCGACGTCCCCTCAGCCACTGAGGAGATCAAGTCGGGAGGACTCACTCGAGGGCTACTCCCGGGACTGTGCAGAAATTCCCTAGCGAAACGACCCGGGAGGACGTTAGATGAAGTATTGGGAAGGTGCGCCAAGTACATGAATGTCGAGGAAGCCGAAGCTGATTTTCTGCAAGCAGCCAAGCCAAAAACTGAGCCTCGGGACGAGAAGCAGGATAAAAAGCTTGTCGCGACAACTGAAAGGAAAGGATCCCCGAGGACCGAAAGAGAAGGACGATCAAGGGGGTGGAGGACAGCCCAATATACTCCTCTGTCGGCCTCGCATGCAAGGATACTGGAGGTTATGGAGAGAGAGATCCGTGATAACGTTGTTAGGTGGCCACGGACGAGAAAAGATGGGCCGACAAAACCTAAAAGTAACCTGTATTGTCGATTTCACAAAGACTACGGCCATAACACCGATGAATGTCGGCACCTAAATAATGAAATCGAGAGACTAATCAAAGCAGGCCATCTGAAGGAATTCATTTATAAAGATCGAGAACGAACCAGTCGGCGAGGGGAGAGAAGCAAAAGCCCTCACAAGAGGGCAAGAACACCCGATAAGGAGGAGCTGCCCCAGAAAAGAGGAATAATTCATTTGATATTCGGAGGGCCAACCGATGGTGATTCAAATCGGGCTATAAAAGCATATGCTCGAGGGCATCGCGGAAAAACCGAAGTGCAACAGGTCGAGGAAGATGGTCCAGTGATGAATTTCGGACCAGCAGACATGGGAGCGATCGAGAGACCTCATAACGATGCCTTGATGATCACACCCTAGATATCGGGCTACGAAGTCCAGAGAATCTTTGTCGACACAGGGAGCTCGGTGAATGTAATTTTTTTCGATTGCCTTAAACGGATGGAACTCAACATTGAACTCTCACCTCTCCACACCTCACTTTTTGGATTTAATGGCTCGGAAGTCGCACCCCTGGGGGAAACCACTCTCGCTGTCGTCCTCGGGGAAGGCGACTTAAGGAAGGTGAAAATGGTGCGATTCGTCGTGGTCGACGTCGAGTCGGCTTATAATGTGATTCTGGGAAGGCCAGCACTCAACGCATTCCAAGCAGTAGTGTCAACCTATCATATGAAGCTAAAGTTCCCTGTCGTAGATAAGGTAGGGGAGGCCCGAGGCGACCAGAGGCTGTCAAGAACCTGTTATCAGATTGCAGTAAGGACAAACCAACGAACGGAGGTGAAAGAAGGAAAAAAGTCGGTGTCAAATGAAAAAAGACGAAGGGAAAGTGATCTTGAGCCACATGGGGAATTAATGGAAATTAAAATCGGGGAGAAAGAGGAGTAGACTACGAAAATAGGGCGAGAACTGGAAGAAGAGTTACGTCGACAATTGGTCGGGCTGCTGAAAGAATTCAGGGACATATTCGCTTTCTCCCCTGAAGAGCTAACATGAATCGATCCCGATGTCATGGAACAAAAGCTTAATGCCGACCCCCTGAAAAAGCCCGTGAAGCAACGGCTTAGACACCATGGCGCAGAAATCGACAAAGCCATAGAAGTCGAGGTGGACAAATTGTTGAAAGCCAAACATATCAAAGAAATTCAATTCCCAGAATGGATATCAAACACGGTGATGGTAAGGAAAGCACTAAATAAGTGGCGTATGTGTATTGACTTTCGCGACTTAAATTTAGCTTGCCCGAAGGAACACTACCCCCTGCCGAGAATCGACCAGCTGGTCGACTCTACTGCTGGCTGCCAATTGCTAAGCATGCTGGACGCGTCCCAGGGGTACCACCAAATTCCCTTGGCTCCTGAGGATCAAAGCAAAGTTAGCTTCATGACGAGCAAAGGGACGTATTGTTACGTTGTTATGCCTTTCGGACTTAAGAACGCAGGGGCAACATACCAAAGGTTGATGGATCGAATGTTCAAATCACAGATCGGGCGAAATATGGAGGTTTACGTGGACGATATCTTGGTGAAAAGTAGGTCATCGATCTCGCATGTAGAGGACTTAAGGGAAGCGTTTACGATACTAAGAACATTTGGAATGAAGCTGAATCCGAGTAAATGTGCCTTTGGAGTGAAGGCAGGACGATTCCTGGGCTATATTGTAACTGAAAGAGGCATTGAAGTGAATAAGGATAAAGTGCAAGCCATACTCGACATTACCCCACCAAAGAATGTTAGAGAAGTACAAGTCCTGACAGGTCGAATTGCAGGCCTAAGTCGATTCATAGCCCAGGCGGCGGAAAAGAGCTTCCCTTTCTTCAAGTTACTCAAGAAAAAAGCCTTCCAATGGGGTGACGAGGCTCAGATGGCGTTTGAAAAACTGAAGGAGTTTTTGAGCGAGCTACCATTGTTAACAAAGCCAGAGCCGGGCGACGAGTTGGTACTTTATATCTCGGTGGGAATTTTTTCTTTGAGTTCTGTATTGCTGCGAGAAGCTGAAGGGGCTCAACAGCCGATCTATTATACAAGTCGAGTGCTCCATGGCGCAAAAGCAAGATATTCCGAGGTCGAGAAGGCCGCATTAACATTGGTACTCACAGCCAGAAAATTGAGGCCGTATTTCCTGAACCATGTGATAATAGTAAGGAAAAATTTCCAGCTCGGTGAGACATTGGGTCGACCTACCGTGTCGGGTCGACTCGTAAAATGGGCAGTCGAACTCAGTGAATTTTCCATCAAATACGAACCTCGACGAGCTATAAAGGCCCAAGCTGTAATATCCCGACTTTTTATCAGTATAATAATATTTCAGTTCCGATATTATTTTTCGGAAGTAATTATTTTCAGTTATTTTAGTCGGAATTACCGGAAAATATTTTCGACGTACCGTTTTCGTTCGAAATAATTTTGGTAATTTAGCATTATGTTTAATTGGATAATTAGACATAATTAAGTGATTAATTTAATTTAATCATGAGATTAGTAATTGTTGGGATTTTATTTCCGAGTTCATGTTCATCGCCGTGCGTTGGGTGCATTCATGTCGTGTGCGAGTTTCGGTCCGAGTTCACGTGTGCATGCCGTGCCCGTGTCCGTGCGTTTCGTTCATGAGTGCCGTGTGAGTAGTTATGTGGGCGGAGTATCCGAGGCGTGTGCACATCCGTGCCAACAATTTGCTAGAAGACCGTGCGCGCGAGTAGTCCGAGGTGCGTGTCCGCAAGTGCCGTGCAACCTCTAGCCGGCGGAGTGCCCAAGGCCGTACCTCTCGGATCCTTTTTCTAGTGCATTGCCGTGTGGTGTGAGTGGCATAGTCAAGATTCCCCCTCATGGAATCCGTGCGCCCCCTTTTGTCCTTTTGTCCGTGGGAATTTGTGTAGGACATTTTGTCTTCTAGGGCCGTGCGCCTTGTCCTTTAGCTCATGCATTTCTTGACCGAGCATGGCCACTTCACGTGAGAATGGGACAAGTCCTTCCCTCAATCTCTCCGCCCTATGTTCGGCCTTAATATAAGTGTGAGGCTTGGGGAGTTAGCTCCATTTTTCTCCTCCTCCATTTGCTTTGCCGAGAGTATAGAGAGTGCCGAGAGTTAGTGAGTTTTTGAGTGAGTTATTCGGGAGCAAAATCCGAGAGCGCCGCACGCCGCGAGCCACCGCACGGAAGGCCGAGAGCTCGCGCACATCGCACACTCCGCACGCATCGCACGGGAGTTCGAGAGTTTAGTCTCCGGAGTTT